ATCCCCGTTTTACAGCTACTTAACTTCTGAATATTTGGAAGAATATATTTTTTTAAGCAATGATGGATAGTGGCTAGCAGTGGAATCCAAAACGCGCGTTTCGTCCTATTTGGGACTCGTCAGCTGGATGTACTTGCGATGGCGTTTGAAGCGAATGGTACTGGGTTCGAGTGCCTGTGTGAACATCAACTCTGAGATGCAAGTTCGCTTTATCTAAATAATTGTCTTTTCGAAAATGTCAATTACGAACGTTGTTCAAACGCATTTCTCATTATTTCACAGAAAGTAGATCATAATAAAACAACAAATTATTGAGTCTTTAACAAGCTTATCGAAAATTGTTTAAAAATATTTACAACTCTTAAGTATAAGTTACGCAATCATGGAAACATTTTATGAACGAGATAAAGGAAACATATATGGAAGAGAGATGTGTAAGATCGACATAAATAATGGAAATATCATAAACCGATTAAAGTTGGATATTTATACATTGGAATTTCGGCTCAAATGTTTTATGATCAAGCATTTGCGTGCTAAACTGTAATTCATGAGTTCGATTCTAGTGTGCCGGGTCATAGATGTGCACAATGAACGAGTTCCATACTACGACAAAACGTTCATCTAGTACTTCCAAACTTTAAATGGTGGTCTAGCTAAGATCAACCAGTGGTTGGAATCATAAGAATACAAACAAGATAAAAGAGAGAAAAACACATATCAAAACAATTCACAAGATTAGAAAATAATTTAGAACGATGGTAAATTAAGGAACTGAACATAAAGAAGAGGTTTAAAGCAATGAATTACTGAAGACTCATTAATACACATATTACCTATTCACTTTTCTTCAGAAAAAGTCTGTTTAATTTTGTAAATAATTTGATTAAAGGTCTTGATGAAGGTAGATGACCAAAGTAGACCAGAATTTTAACGGTGTGACTACTGACTGGTTCTCATTCATTTTCAAATAACCAGTTCGTTTAATTCTCAGGTATGTGTTTAGAAAGTACAAATTTTCTGCAATCAATAAAACATGTTTTATAGGGGCGAATAAACTGAAGAATGCACATTGACAGTTTACTCTTGGTTTTTAGTAACCTTTTTATTAGATAAGCAGTATTCTAATTCAGTACAAACTACACAGTAAAATATTATAACTACGATGGTATAGCATTAACAATAAACACCGTAAGGATCTAGTGACTCGGGATCTGAATCCAATTTGATCGTATGAATATTATTGAAGTACCCATGTCGTCTTATATCGTCCTAATTGTCATTAGTGAACAACGGAATTAGATGACTCAAATAAGAGAAAAGAATTTCAAATACATATATTTTGCACAATCATTGATCTGGACAAACAATCCGACGAACAAAACGAAGAAATGAGATCAAAGAGAAATGACACGCAGTGGAGAAGGCATGTGAGTTAACCCCATTTAATCGAGCGTTAATCAATATTTAGAGCCAGATAACAATAGATTACAGACATGTTATGAGTAGTATAAGAAATGTACACATATATGCTCATATAAGAACAGTCAAAATTGATAAGTGAATAATTAACAAGATCAAAATGTGACTCAAGAAAAATGAATAAACTGGTCTGTCCAAAAGCTAGAATACATTGTGTGGGCTTAACATAGTAACTAATACTACAACAAATAGTATCTTGTCTGCATTGTTCTATATTTTAATTAACGGTACATTGAGTTTCATTTGTAATGTTTTTCAATTATGCTTTTATTTCAAAACCATATTGAAATAAAAATAAAAATAAGTCAGTGTTGATTTGATTTTTTCTAGACAATATAATAAGTTTCTTTCATTTCTGAAAATCATCTTCCAAATCCTTCTAACTTAGTTAATATATGCAAATAATCAGAAGGGGTTTTGTGGAGATTTTAGTAATTTCAATAGGTAAGTCAATCGAAGCTAGACCACCATCGAAAACCTAGAAGCACTGAACAGTCACCTCGTCCTATTGTGGGACTCCTCAGCAGTGCTCATCTACGATCTCGCCCCCCTGCGAGATTTGGACCCAGGACCTATCAGTCTCGAGCACGAGCGCTTAACCATTGGACCACTGAGCCGAAATCCAACAGTGTTAATGTTTAACTTCAACCAGGTCTGTTGTGAGATATCAGCTCACTGGAGACGATGGTGGACGCAATTTCGTGGATTGGTTGAAGTTAGACATTGACACAGTTGGATGTCGACAGGCTCAGTGGTCTGACAGATAAGCACTCGCGCGAGAAACTGATAGGTCCTGGGTTCGAATCTCTAGAGGCAGGATCGTAGATGCGCACTGCTGAGAAGTCCCATGCAAGGACGAAACGGCCGTCCAATACTTCCAGGTTTTCGATGGTGGTCTAACTTCAATTGACTCATGACTTTAACTATTGAAATTACTAAAATCTCCACAAAACCTCTTCTGAAAATTTAGATTAATTTAATGTAAGCAAAATCTATTACATTTGGTATTCATTTTTCTAGATGACTTAATGACAAAACTAATAACCTTATTACCATGACTATTATTATTATTATTCTGTTCTCCTTTTTTAAAACTATAAGAAATATTGTTCCTTTTTCGATCATTCATCATTTTTTTATTCTTTTACTCTGTCGAAGTCTCACTCTCTTGTTCTCGCTTTCTCTCTCTCTCTCTCTCGCACACACACACACTTATTGCTTATGCTATATTCATTCTTATCTCATAAAAATATTGATTTTTGTTATATTGATCGTCAAAGAAAGATTACTCTCATCTATTCATTTATTCATTCTTTTTTTTTATTCAATTGGGAGAACGAAAGAAAAATTATTACTAGTGGGAAAAAAAACAAACAAATTTCATGATAATGAAATGGATTGTTGATAGGACATTTAGTAAATTGAGTAGATCACGGAAATGAGTATTAGGAATTGATTGTTAGAACAAATCCATTTAATGATTTATTAGTGGAGTTATGAAAAACTTTTTTTTGGAAATAACTTTTGTAGTGGATAAGCTGATTTGAAATTGGTTATGTATTGAATATTACTTACCGTATGAGGTAGTATATGCTCACTGCTGAAGTGTCTCATAGCAGAAAGAAATGGTTGTCAATTGTTTCCTAGTTCCTAATAGTATCTTACCTGAGTTCAATCTGTGAGAAATATTAATTATAATTGGACGTTCGTCCAAATCACATTAACTTAGATTTCACCACTGACCAATATAAAATATATAATTGAATGCATTGAGGTATTAATTAGAATCTATAGTATGGATGATGAAATAAATACTCCTCTGATGTCTTTTCCTACTATCTCTTGTATCTAACTATAATCCATCCGTCTGTGTGTACGAGTTGAAGAGTAAAAGAATTGAGTACCAAGAAGTACTTGATAATGTTCAAAGGTAGTATTTGGTAACAATGCTTATAGAAACAGAAATCATTTTCGTTTACTTATTATTAGCAAGGAAAATCTGCGGTAATAACACTCTAAGAGATAAAGAAATTTAAGATTTATTGACAAGATACCCAATCAACCAATTTAAACTTACAATTAGTTGGTTACGAAACATTTAGAATGTGATATAAATGTGTATCAGTCTAAACTATCACGATACTCACCAGTACAACACGGAGAAATATGAATATCATCAATAATACAAGAGAAATAAACATTGTGAACATAGTCCAGTAAAAAGAAATAAAGTCAGTAAATATGAACTAAGAAAGAAAATTAAAGGATAAAGTTTAATAGATAGACTATTACTACTTATATCTTTACTACAGTGACTGACTTTAAATCACATCACATAAAGTATTTAACCAGTAATTAGAATTATGATAAGACCTCAAATCATTAGGGTTTCACCTGTCAACGTACCATAAATCACTTGAGAATGACTTCATAAACTTCATGTTATATTTTAGTTTGACCGATCTTGGCCTTAGGTTTTTTCTAACCATCTTTTATACTGAATACTACTGAAAATTACATTAGACAATATAAAGTATTCAGTAATATAAGTCTACTCTGAAACCAGATGAATTTCTCTCAGCCATTTTGATTGGGTTGATTAATTTAAAGTAATAATTATTTCTAAGAACAAAACGGTAAAATAATATTATCACCATGTAATGAAATAAAGTATCGATTAATAGAAAAGTTGGAAACGATTGACATATTCGAAATAAATAATATATTTGTAATGTCCCAAAGAGAAGAGTAGTGTAAGCCACTTCTTCAGAGAATTTGGTTATTTATTCTCTAAAGAAGTGGCTTACGATAAGTCACGAAACGTCAGAAAGTCTAGTTTTTTCTAACTCATTGGGATATTACAAATATATTATTTAATTTATTTTTAAAAATCTACCCAATTCCTAATTTATTCGAAATTATCAGATCAAATCTTGGTAATGATACCTACAATTGACATTTGTTTAAATTCTACTCTAATTAGCAATGAATGACTATAATGTACATTTTAAAGTTTATCAAAATTTTCTACTATGATGTATGTTTTAAAGTTGTTTTTACATTTAAAAATGAATAGTAAATAGCTGATGAATTTTATTTCATGTTTACATACTGAAGAGTCTTAAATAGGACAAAACTCTTGTTCTAAATTTTAATAATCAGTTCTATGTTTCCTTTCTACATTAGATTCAATTCACAATATCATCTGACTTATCTTAAAAAAGAAAAAAATATATATTATTCATTTTCATTTATTATATAAAGAGGATATTTTATTGAAAATGAATTTCTCTTATTAAAACAACTAGATCTAATGAATCAAAACAAAACAATCATTTAATTTTATCAATCTAACATTATTACACCTTAATTTTCCAGGTACTAGTTGTCATGACAACATTAAATTCAATATTCAATATCATACAATTAAAAAGCTCACTTTCTGGTGTTATCATTATTAGTGTTGTTGTTTTTTTCAAAAGAAAAAAAAGGAGAACAACTATTCATTAATGACTTACCTTCTTTTTTAAATTAACTATTTATTAATTGTCCAAAATGCTAGAAAATGAAATCTGTATGGTTTTTCCGTGAAATTTTCAACATTTAAAACATTGTGATTGTTTGTTTGTTCACTTGTTTGTTTGTTTCTTTGTTTCTGACTTCATGATTATTTAATTAATCATAGATACTTTGAATGTTCAATGAAATCTGTTCAACAATATCATGTCATATCATGAATATGAATATGATCAATATTTTTCTGTATAATCATTAGATATTGTAATGTTTTATGATTGTTATGCTGAAACAGTTTTATGGGTATCCCCCCCCCGCGGAAAAAGAAAACAATAATTATGTAACTCCTTTATTATTTATTTATTGATTTTTTGGCATATCCAATCGAATGACTTGGTAACTAATAATGTATTTGAATCAATTTCATGTTATCAATTTTGTTCTTCCTTTTTTTTGTTCTGATTTTTTTCAATATTAAAAATTGGAAACCTTGAATGTTTTTTTTGTTTTTCTGTTGTTGTTATTTCTTATGATTATGTAATCTACATATACACAGTTATATAATCATGATAAATCATTTCATAATCATTGAAAAATAGATGAGAACAATAAAAATCTAAAGGAAGAAGGAATGAAAGAGAGATTTTTTTCCCAAAAAATAAAAAAAGAAATTGGTCATTATGATTATTCTTATTATCTTACAAGTTCATTTCTCATAATCCAATTAAAATTGATTTGTAAATTAGCAACAACAACAACCATAACAACAACAAAAATTGTTTTTCTATTTGTTTTTATTCACACATTTCTATATCTATATAAACATCTATGTTCACGTGTATTATGATTTTTCATATTCCATATATATGGAAGTGAATAGGCAAATGGGTAAGAGAGTAGAAGAAATAAATGTCTTGCTCTCTATGCATATATATATGTGTATGAGTCTGTGTATGAATACATATATTAGTGGTCAATTATCGACCAACATGCATAAGCAATTCACTACTCAAATTGACCAATTAAAATGATCACAATTCTAACAATTGAATCTGCCTTCATAGATAGATAGATATATCTGTAAATATGGTTAAAATGTAACCATTTATGATTTATAATGTAATAATAATGATCATTAATTATAAGCAAATTGTTTTTAGGATAAATCTTAAATAAATAAATAAATAAATCATCTGCTCATTAGTGACTGACTTCAAGAGGCATTTCCTAGAGTTCTAGTGAAAAGCCGTGACCAGTAGAGTTCAACAAGGTCTGTTTTTCAGATAGTAACTTACTGAAAACAATGGTGAGCTGTTGCGCAATTTCGTGGATAGATTGAAGTTAGACATAAACACTGTCAGATGTCGGATGTCGGATCAATGGTCTAGAGGCTGTATTCACCTGTGAGACTAATAAGTCCTGGGTTCGAATCGCGAGAGGCAGGATGGTGGATGCGCACCGCTGAGGAGTCCTACACAAGGACGAAACGGCCGTCCGGTACTTCTAGGTTTTTGATGGTGATCTAGCTTCAATTGACTCATGATTTCAACTATTGAAATGACTAAAATCTCCACAAAACACCTTCTGAAAATAAACATGAAATAATATCTTTTCCGGTAAAATTCATTCTATTTCATGAATACAAACTGAATGATACTGTTGAATTAATCATTAGTAAATTTCATTAATGTACATGATATAGACAGATTTCTAAGTAAAGAAGACAATTATTTTTGAAGGAATTTTTCAAAAATGTTAATATGTAGGTGCTAGAACAAAAAAAACAGAAGGTTGATTCATAGATGAATAAAATGAATCCGATCTCAGATGATTTTTTTCAGACCAATAATTAAACCTTCATAATTTAATTATTCATCTCAGAAAACGCGATATCATTATAAAGTAGATGTGCATCTCTTTCATTGTTGAAATACCGGCAAGAATAGAATCTATGGACGAACCAATCAGATATACGATAATGAGTCACGAATTTTGGAGCGAAATTCATCCATACATTTGGCTAAATAAAGTTTTGGCATTATAGCTGGTGTCACTTCGTGATGAAAACCCTGAATCTAATTCTTAACCCTAATCATCAACTGTAACTTTAACTGCTTTATAAGCCTCATTTAATTCTAATCACTAGGTGTCCACTCTCAATGTCACTTCAGCGTTGCTCAAAGGTCGTCCATAAATTATAGTCTCACCGAAATATCTTCTGCAAATAGTCAGATAGTGTACTTATGAAACTACCATTTCGTACTTTCTAATGAAACAGATTTTTCAGTGAAATTAAATAACTAATGAGTAACAATTTGTAATCATATGATTAGCATATTTCTCAGCCGCTTTGATGAGACAAGCATAGTATAATTTAAACTGATATGAATTATATACCAGAAGTTCCCATATTAGTGAATTAAAACAATAGATAAGTGAACAATATTGTTGTCAATTCAGTCGTTATCAATCTTTAATATATAATAATATTTATAGGCATATATAAAGATATTAAATCATTCAAGGCAGTTTATGAGACAGTGACAACAGTGGAATACTTACCTACTTACTTACTTACGCCTGTTACTCCTAATGGAGCATGGACCGCCGACCAGCATTCTCCAACCCACTCTGTCCTGGGCCTTCTTTTCTAGTTCCATCCAATTCTTGTTCATTTTTCTGATATCTATTTCCATTTCCCGGCGTAATGTGTTCCTTGGTCTTCCTCTACTCCTTCGGCTTTGAGGATTCCACGTGAGGGCTTGTCTTGTGACCCAATTGGGTGCTTTCCTCAATGTGTGTCCTATCCACTTCCAGCGCTTCTTCCTGATTTCTTCCTCCGCTGGGATCTGGTTTGTTCTTTCCCACAGTAGGTTGTTGCTAATAGTGTCCGGCCAACGGATCAGAAGTATTTTGCGTAGACAACTGTTAATAAACACCCGTATTTTCTGGATGATGGCTTTCGTAGTTCTCCAGGTTTCTGCCCGATACAGTAGAACTGTCTTGATATTTGTATTGAAAATCCTGACCTTGGTGTTGGTTGACAGTTGTTTTGAGTTCCAGATGTTCCTCAGTTGTAAATATGCTGACAACAGTGGAATACATTACATAAATGAACATTATAAATTAAAAGTACAAATTCATAGTTTGTTGGCAGGTGTACTACTTGTGATAAGAATAATAAAGGCTTGAATCAGTGTTTATGATAGGAAGTAGGTAAACAATTTGGAAAAATAGACGCTAAAATAATATTCATTAAGAATCAGTAAAAGTATACAGTACGTGTTCAGATATTTAGACAGTAAAGCATATTTGTGAGGAAGATGGGAAGTAAAATAAACAGACTAAGAGTATGGAAGGTAATAATAACTAAAATTGTTTATTACGACACATCCGGCAAAGAAAAGAGATGTGCTATAAATTTCTTATTATTGACTCAAAACTTATGGCTTCTGCTGTATGTGGAAAACGGAGTAAGTATATCATAAATGACTTTAAATGGTTTATTTTTATCTAAGGCATGACTACTATCGATGAAATGTGACCGAAAGAAGTTGTGTAATAATTCTTTCACACCTCAATGTTTTCTTCATTACTGATCAAACTAACAGTTTCATCCACCACATAAAATTCATAAATTTAAAAATAAAAACAAGAACGAAAATATTTGCAGAACACAATGAGTTCAGTGTAATTTGCTGCCTTCAGTTTTCAGCTATAAACTAATTTGGTTGAGTTATTTCCAATTTATTAACATTTTGTTGGTAATTGACTTATAATTTATAGCAAAATTCATCGTATTCTGAAAATGTTTTCATCCCAACTTTATTCATATTAGTAATGTATTAAATGTTTTAATGAATTTGAACATTTAAAATGTTTCAGTCTTCTGCATTAATATAGAGTATTGATATGAGATACCTTTAACTTTCAAAATTGATTATCGTGTACATTGGTTGATGAATTATAAAATCCATTGTTACAATCAGACCGAAAATTCTGGGTTCGAGTCCCGCGCACGGGATCGTGGATGCGCACTGCTGAAGAGTACAAAACCAAAATGAAATAGCCGTCCAATGATTCCAGGTTTTCAGTGGTGGCCTAGCTTAGATCGACAAATGAATTCAACTATTATAATGATTCTAATTACATCAAGTTACAATCATAAGTCTGTCGAAATTAGACCACCATCAAAAACCTAGAAGCACTGGACGGCCGTTTCGTCCCACTATGAGACTACCCAGCAGCGCGCATCCGCGACCCCGCACCCCACGAGACTCGAGCCCAGAACCTATCGGTTTCGCACCAGGCGCCTAACCAACTAGACCACTGAGCCGTCAACCAACGGCGTTAGTGTCTAACTTCAACCAATCCACGAAGTTGCGCCACCGTATGCCATTGTCTTTAGTGAGCTGATATCTCACAACAGACCTGATTGAACTCCATTGGTAACGGCTTCCCGCTAGAACTCCAGGAGTATCTCTTGAAGTCAGTCACTAGTGAGCAGATGATTATTATCAGAAGGGGTTTGTGGAGATTTTAGAAATTTCACAGATTTAAATCATGAGTCAGTTGAAGTTAGACATTAACACCGCTGGATGTCGGCTCAGTGGTCTAATGGTTAAGTGCACGCGCGCGAAACCAGTAGGCCCTGGGTTCGAATCCCGCGGGGTGCGGGATCATGGGTGCGCACTGCTGAGGAGTCCCATGCTAGAACGAAACGGCCGTCCAGTGCTTCCAGGTTTTCCATGGTGGTCTAGCTTCAACTGACTTATGATTTCGATTTGTGAAATTTCTAAAATCTCCACAAATCCCTTCTGACATCAAGTTACATTGACTGAATTCATAATTAATTTTAAAAAATCAGCGGTAATGCAGTTGTATCCACAAGTTATACATCAAACCACTTAGAATAAAAACGACCCAAGTTAAGTAATAAGGGATAGTCTTAATAAATTAAGTTGACATTTTTAGAGTTCTTTCATACAATAAAAAATTAAGCCAACAATCACACAAAATGCTTATACAGTTAGTAAACTGTAAATTTAAATTATTAAAAATCCTTACTTCCAATGATTAATCAATGTGAGACACCGGTGACAACAATAGAAACAGTTGATCTTTTGTAGTTTAGAAATCTTCAACGATATTATTATATCAACAGATTGCTTAATTGTCATGGTACTTTGTATTGGAAGCTTGAATCCGACAACGAAAGCAAGAATACAATGACAAATATATAAGGATTTATTTGGCTTTCAAAATGAATTAAAATGGTTCATGAATACACTAATTTTGACATGATTCATTTCCAGTTCGATTAGCATTTAGATTCACATAAACTGAACTGAATAGTATTTCATATCAGTTTAGTAATAACCTACTATGTGAAAATATATTACTTTTTTAACTATCTAAACGTATCATAAAATAATGATGGATAGTGGCTAGCAGTGGAGTCCAGGACGCCCGTTTCGTCCTATTTGGGGCTCGTCAGCTGGATGTGCCAAGTGAGTTTCATAAAATAATTACTGCATATTAATTTCTAGTTAGATATCCTGATATTCTAATATGTGATCA